CTCATCCTCCGGTCCTTGCACCTCCATGTCAAAATAAAAGCATGAGACTGTACATAGCGACTTCAGATAAAACTCTAGGGAGCATGCTCGCTCAAGAGGATGAAAGTGGTGTCGAAAGAGTCATTTACTACCTTAGCAGAGTTTTAAATGATGCAGAAACTAGGTATAATGAGATAGAGAAATTATGCTTATGTTTGTATTTCTCATGTATAAAGCTGAAGCAATATATAAAACCAGTTGATGTTTACGTTTCGTCACATTTTGATATTATTAAGCGCATGTTGTCCAAACCCATTTTGCATAGTCGAATTGGTAAAAAGGCATCAGTATTAACTAAGTATTCATTAACGTATAGACCGTTGAAAGCGGTCAAAGGGCAGATAGTGGCAGACTTTATTGTCGACCACTCCATAAACGAAAGTGCCCTGAACCTTGTTGAGCTAGAGCCTTGGAAGCTGTACTTCGACGGGTCTAGTCACAAGAATGGGACAGGCATAGGTCTACTGATCATTTCTCCTGACAAAGTTCCAACAAAATTCAAGTATAGAGTCGAGGGCCTATGTTCCAATAACGAAGCTGAATATGAAGCGTTGATCGCTGGACTTGAAATTTTGTTAGAATTGGGGGCAACCCAAGTCTAAATAATGGGAGATTCAGAGTTGGTTGTAAAACAGCTAACAAAGAAGTACAAATGCGTTAAAGAAAATCTCATTATGTATTTTGTGATAGCCAACAGACTACTCAAAAAATTTGAAGTCTGCACTATTCGACACATACCACGACTGCACAACCAGATAGCCAACGACTTGGAACAAGTTGCCTCAGGATACAAGGTCTCGAAGGAAAACTTACAAGAAGCAATCGAGGCCAGAGGTAAGGTTGTGTCCGTGGGTTTGAGACCATCAGACTTGGAAGTCACAATATTTGGCTACGCTGATGAGGAAACCTTTGAGATTTTCACAGTCGAAGGTCTGACAGACAAAGATTGGAGGAAACCTCTGATCGAATACCTTCAGAACCCTTCAGCAACTACAGAACGAAAGATAAAATACCAAGCGCTGAGCTATGTCCTGTTGGGGAATGAATTATTTAAGAAAACCTCTAAGGGAGTTTTACTTAAATGCCTCAGTGAATCTGAAGCATACTTGGCGTTGTCTTCAGTCCATGGTGGGACATGCGGAGCACACCAAGTAGGCCATAAGATGAAATGGTTGCTATTTCGCCAAGGGATGTACTGGCCTACGATGCTGAAAGATTGCATTGAGTTCGCCAAAGGTTGTCAGGAATGCCAGGTCCACGCTGGCATACAACATGTCCCAGCAAGCGAGTTGCACTCCATAGTCAAGCCATGGCCATTCAGAGGTTGGGCTTTGGACCTAATATGAGAGATTCGACTTGCGTCTTCCAAAATCCAGAAGTACATTTTGGTAGGGATAGACTATTTTACCAAGTGGATCGAAGCTATACCTCTACCGAAGGTAGACGAAGAAGATGTTATCGAATTCATTCAGAAGTATATCATCTACAGATTTGGGCTACCAGAGACAATAACGACAGACTAAGGGTCAGTATTTACAGGTAGAAAGATGCAGGAGTTTGCCAAAGAAATGAGATTTAAACTCCTTACCTCGACACCTTACTACGCCCAGGCCAATGGCCAAGTCGAAGCGGCAAACAAAGTGATAATTGACATGATAAAGAAACAGATTGGAAGCAAGCCTAGGAATTGGCATAAGGCGTTGGATCAAGTCCTATGGGCATGTCGAACATCCCCGAAGGAAGCAACCAACACTTCCCCCTATCAACTCACCTTTGGCCATGACGCAGTATTGCCAGTAGAGATACACATACAGTCAGTGAGAATTCAAAGACATCATGAAATCCCTCGAGAGATTTATTGGGACATGATGCTAGATGAGTTAGTCGACTTAGACGAAGAGAGATTAAAAGCTCTAGAACTCTTGAGAAGACAAAAGAAAAGAGTGGAGAAATCATATAATAAGAAGGTCAAAGCAAAGACTTTCCTGGTTGGAGATTTGGTATGGAGGGTAATCCTGCCTATGGATCGAAAGGTGAGGTACCTAGGTAAATGGTCCTCAAAATGGGAAGGACCATTCCAGGTATCGAAGGTATTCTTCAACGGGGCAGTACGAAGGACCTACCTTCGACATCATAATCAGATCGTAAATCCCAGTGTCCTTCCATTCCTGGGCTTTTACTTTCTCTATTTTCGTCAGCCAGTTGAGATAAAGTTCGGAATCTTTGAAGTAGGGAGTGACCCAAAATAATCTGGCCCCATCATGAAGATACCTAAAGTCTATGTTGAAGAGGCTCAGGCTATTAGGACCGTCAGTGGAAATTTTGTTAGAGTCTCTTTGCCCTAGGGGTTTAGTGGTTCTATAAGAGGGGAAGAAATCTTTAATGGTAGAATAGTCAAGACCTGGAGGGGGTAAGGGCCCAGACATGGCTAAAGGTCTCCCTGCAACAGTAACATGAATGATTACCTGAGATTCGTAAATGTGGCGTTTCTCCTTCGTCAAGGGTTCGCGGATGAACTGTTGATTCTTTACCACCTGGGGGCCGCTCAAGCTAGCAAAGGGAGGAAGCGTGGATATATAAGTCTGTCCTTTAGATGACATTTTCTTCTTTTGATAATCAGCCATTTTTTAAGAAAGTAAGAATTTGTTGGTTGGGAAGCAGAAAATTAGAGAAAAAGCAAGGAAGTTGTGAAGAGTTGGAGAAGTTGGAAAAAATGAAAACGTCAAAGGGGAACTACTTATATAGTGTATGGAAGACTGAAAGTTTTCATCATTAAGGGGCTAGAGTTAGTGGGCCACGTGTGTGCTTGGATGTGGGATGGCAGAGGCAGTAGTTGCAATTCACGTCCCCGAGGTTGGAAGGGTGATGATGGCCCACGATTTTGTTGATTCCCGAGAAAATAGCCATGATGAAAATGACGTCATAAACGTGCATCAAGGTGACGGAACAGTGGCTTGCGTGTTCCTAGTTATTTTTCTTCTTTCTCTTTCGTTCCCTTTCACCTTCCCAGACTTGCATTGGTGGAAAGAGTATCCTACGACACGCATGAGGACAAAGCGGCGTCGAAGGTCAGACGCTGTCAAAAAATGTGCTTTTCTACAGTCAAAGTCGAAAAGACATTTTTGGGGGGCAATTTGTTAGCTCCTAAATTCGACGTCTCATGTAGAAGGAAGGTATCCAAGACAAAAGGGTAAAAAATAAGTTGAGTACAAGAGAATGGTCGAAAGAAGCAAAGCAGTCATAAGAAGAAGTCGAAAGACTCACCCAGAAGCCAGGAGTTCGACCGCTTGCTGAGAGGGATGGTTCGTCGAAGGATTTTGAAATTCAAATATTGGAGGGAACGGTTTTGCTTGTTGAATATTGAGGGAGACACGTGTCACTCTAGGAGCAGTATAACCATGCATTTGTGACAAATGGCGCAAGGAGGTGATGATGGAGGTTATTAGAGGTTATTTTTACTACTATAAATAGGGTGTCTTAGACATATCCAAAGTGTGTTGTAATTTACTATTGTACAAATTACTCTTGAAATTACTCCAAGTATCCGAGTGTAGAGAAAGCGAGTATTGTAAGAGAATGTATGTAAACACACCATCTTTTAACTTAATGCAATTTACTTATTTTTACTTTAAGTTTTACAAAATCTTTTATTGTCTTTACCCCTTGTTCTCCTTACTTTACTTTTCTCCTTCCTATGCAATTCTTTTCTCTTCGTCCTCAATCTAACCTCACCTCTACCTACAAACTTTTTTCTCTTTTATTGAAAGGCTTACTTTATCTTTAAATTAACCCGTAGTCGAATAGTTGTTCCTTTAGGATTCTTTCACCCCAATGTTGTTCGAGTGTGGAACTTGAATAGATTCTTAAAACAAAAACAAACCTTTTTAGCACATGTCCTAGGATCAATCTGATCGATCCTGTGAGTCACCAAAATTAAATTTGGAAGATCAACGGTTGTTTTCTGATTTTCAAAGGAAACACTACGTTACCTAAGTTAGTAACAAAAGTTGTGTAAAAGCAAAATTAGTAATAGAAGAAGCACATTAAAGCAACACTGCATATCTTAATATTCTCTGTAGAATATCAGAATCGATAAAATATAGAAAAAGATGTATATACTTATCAAAACGAATGAATGATAAAAAGAAAGGCAAAGTTGCTGAAGCAGGAAAACCTGCATCAAGAATACATACATATATTCATATCTTGATTATTCTTCCTAACTGCTGTATTTATTCTAATAAAACTATGATTCATCTTGATAGTAATGGCAAATTATGCAAGACAAGAGAGGATTCAAGCTAAGAGTCTAAATATACAAATTAATAAGACAAGAACTTTATCCCAATGTAGCACTAACAGTTGAATTGACAACCACTAACACATCCGGCCAACATTTTGTTATTACATTTAGAAATGAAGATCTCTTGTATTATCAGGTTGTAAATCAGAACGTGACCTCCATCAAAATCCCTATTGTTAGAGTAGCCTGCTTTTGTCACCTATGCACTAATGAAGCCTGAATAAAATGAATTGATTTAGAAATGATTCTAGTTCCTACAGTTTCTTTTTGAGTTAGCGGTAGCTATAATTTATCACCGTTAAGTTCCCCCCTCCATGATGGTCAGACTATATGTGAACATCCAAGCACCTTCATCTGCCATTGATTAGCTGTTCAGTATCTCAGGAGGGACGAATTGCACTCACCCTGTTCAACAATGCAACAACGCGGTTACCTCATTAAGTAAACCATATTTATCAAAACCACCTACAACTACAAGTCAGGGCTTTTCTGCACTTTTCTCTCACTCCAATTATGATAATCATGTATAAGTTTGAGTCCTGATAGATCACCAAGCAAGTAGTTTCAGAGTTCTCTGAGCTACATGGCTGGCCAATTTTCAGTCAGTGTTCACTAGACACTTTTAGAAGATGATATTTTATCACCAATTCCCGGAGATTCAAGTTAGAATATCAATATCAGTACATCCATCTGTCATTATTGATACAAGGTCATCAAGCATTTCATAGATTGAACTAGAACAAGGATGTGCTTTATCAGCAACAGTGAAAGAATGTGTTTTACCACTCATAGTTATCCAACTGATACCTGGAACTTTTCTTAAACCTTTCTCTTTCATCATTGTTCTCACCTCAGTTACAACATCCCATCTTCTATAAGAGGCATACGTATTTGAAAGCGAGATATAATTTGAAGGGTTTTCAGGTTCTAGCTCTAAGAGACACCTATAAGCCAAGTCTCTTGTCATTGAATTCCCATGTATTACAGAGGCAGTGAAAAGAGATCCCCAAACACTTGGACCGGGATATATTGGCATTTTTTTTATGAACTCCAACGCTTGATCGAGCTGGCCCGATCGACCTAACATATCTACCACACAAGCACAGATTTCAACCGTTGGTTTCATTTCATACTTCATCGTCAAGGAGTTATATATACTAATACCTTCATCTACCATTCCTGATTTGCTACAAGCAGAAAGAGCACTAACCACTGTTATCATGTCTGGTTTGATCCCCTGCTGAAGCATTTCGTAATATGTAGTCACAGCTTCCCCTCCTTTGCCATGTAATCCATATGCCGAGATAATCGAACTCCAAGTGATAGCATCTTTGAAATAAGAACCATTACCAAATACCCGTCTCGCGTAATCTAAACTCCCACATTTGGCATACATATCAATCAAAGCATTACATAGAGAAATATAATCATTCAACTCCATTTTAATTGAAAACGCATGGACTTGTTTCCCTCCCATTAATCCAGCAAGCAAGCCACAAGCTGGAAGTACGCTAATAAGCGATACTTCATTGGGTCGTATTCGATCCTTCCTTTGCATCTCACGGAGAAGAATCAATGCATCCTCAGGCGCTCCATTCTGTACACAACCATTAATCATTGCAGTCCATACATATATGTTTCTACTTTTCATTTGTTCAAATACTCTCCTACTAAGAACAAGTTTATTACTCCTTGAATACATATCTATCAAAGAAGATCCTATATGAACATCCGATACCATTTTCAAATCCAATCCATTCTTGACAAGATAACAGTGAAGTTCCCTCCCATAATCCACCTTCCCAGCATTATCAGAACACAAAGGCAAAAGACTAGCAACGGTAAAAGCATCTGCCATATAGCCTTCACATTGCATTCTTCGGAAAAAATCCCACAAATCACCGTGTAAAGTAGAAGCAAAATTTCCCAAGCCAGCACATCCAGAAATTATAACATTAAACGAAGCAACATTTCTCTGAGGCATTTCATCAAACACCTTCATCGCATCATCAAACTCTCCACATCTAGTATACATTGACATAACAGAATTGGCAAGAACAATATCCGACACAAACCCAATCCTCATACTCTTCCCATGAATCAATTTCCCTAAAACCAAGTCCTTAACCTCACCAGAAATTTTAGAAATTGTAGAAAGTGTAAAATCATCAGGCAACAAACTACTAAGACCCATTCGGCGGAACAACACAATAGCTTGAACAAATTGATGATTTTTGACATGGCCATTGATGATGGAGTTCCAGAGATAAACGTTCTTGGTCTGAACAGAGTCAAAGACGAGTTTTGACAAGGTTAACTCTCCAGATGTGGCGTATGCAGAGATGAGCCTGGTGGCGAGGAAAGCGTTTTGGGAAAAGCCATTTGCGAGGATTTGGGAGTGACATTGTTGGGAAAGTTTGTGAGAATGAAGGTCAATGCTGAGCTGAAGAAGATCAAGGAGATTTTGTGGCGCAAGGAACACAGTGGCAGAACTGTAATAACGAGAAGCTGTGAGAGAAAATGTTGTCCTCAGAATCATAAGTGCTATCGATTGCTTTGAGTTTGATTATGGCGGGCACGAAAGAACGAGTGAACCGATAAACTGGTTGATCACAAATTAGTACAGAAACTTATAAATTTATAAATTTATAAATTTATGTGAGTTGTAAAATGGTAGTGTAAATCCCATTTTCACTAATTATTTTATTTGACAAATAGACCGAAATCACCTAGTAATTACAAGCCAAAAAATATACTCTTGGTTCGTTTTATTATAATAAATTAATCTCTTATGTTTTTTTTTTATACAATTTGATTTTTATGTTAACTAATGTGTTTATCGGTAACTCTTTTTATATACTCCGTTTCAAAAGCGTTTATGTGGCACAAACGACGTCGATGTGTCATTTAACTTTATTAAATGATATTTATTTTATTCTTTTATATATTTTTGGAGATCAAAAAGATGATAACTCTAAATCCTCAAATGAGACACATTGGAACCCTAAATCTCATCACTCCATCAATGACCTCATACGGTAGCAATGGATCAAGTCGAAGATGTCAGAACTCCAATATCATTATTTCGAGTGCATCCCAAACTGGAATTGAACCGACATGTCCGTGCGAAGGTAAAGCAGTGTTAAGAACAATTAAGAAGAAAGGAAGAAACTTAGGGAAACTATTTTGGGGATGCAGATACTATGTGGTACGTGTGTTGTTCATATTTTTGGTTTTGGTTTATGCAAATATATTGTTATGTGTTTGAGATGGTTTGGCATATTTGATGTTTTGGTTTATGTTATTGTTAACAGAGTGAAGCTGATAATGTGGGTTTCAATTTTTTTTAGTGGTATGAAAACCATTACAGTGATGAAGTCAAATTAGAGATACAACCCTCAATAACTTCAAAATGTTACAAATATGATGAAAAGGATGTTGAAATAACATGCTTAGAAGGGACATTGATAAGGATGAGAAATACACTAACTAGATCATGAAGAACATGTTGAAGATGTCAGACTATGTCATAACGTTGTTAGTTTTGATTTTTGTAGTGTTATGTGTATTTTGGTTTAGAAGTGGTGATCATTGTTAATTTTGATACTTTCATTGTAAGTCATGACTTTTGGTACTTTCATGCAATTCAACAATTCTGCCTATTTTGTGTTGCAATTTTATACAAGTTTAATTATAGTAAGGTCATTATGTGTATAACAAGCAAAATTTGAAGGATCTGATTGTTACAATTTAAAAATAAATGAGACATGTTTGTTACAATTAAAACATAACTGATATGTATAACAAACATGAGTTTGGTACTTTGATGTAACACTTGTTGACAATGGTTAATTTCTTCAATTGTGCATATTTTGTATTCATAAATTCTATACCATTTTTGTTACAGTTAGGTTATAATTTGTACACCGGACAAAATTTGAAGGACATGGTTGTTACAAATTAAAAACAAATGGGACCTGTTTGCTACAATTTAAAACATAACTGATATGTTATGTTACACTATTTTGGACCTTAAACAGTTACAAAACAACATACAAAACATTACATAATCATAACATAAACCATTAAATTTTTATAGAATTCAAATAAGATTCAAAAACAAAATTCTCAAAACATTGTTATATTGTTATAAACCAAAACATACATAAACATAAACCAAATGCATCGTTATAAAACTCAAAACAGAATTCTTAAAACATAAGATTGCAAAACAGAATTCTAAAAACACAATCTATTTGCACTTTCTCCTTATGACCAACTTTGGTCTCATGCTTGTTGGTGGCTGAAATGTTGTTGTACCAATCTGCCTTCCCCTTCTCATAGCAAGTAACTAGGCAACTGAGATGGACTATCGTGTCTGGATTCTGGAAGTTGATGTCGACAATCTAGTTTGAACTCTTTGGGTTGGTTAGGATTGGACAGTTGAGACTTGAGGGGTTGTTTGAAATTGTCTAGTTTGAACTCTTTGGGTTGTTTGTTATTGGACAATTTGAACTTGAGAGGTTGTTTGGGTTTGTGTTGTTTGAACTCTCGTGGTTGGTTAGGATTGGACAATGGTGGCAGTTTGTGATTGGTCAGTTGTGGCATTTTGTGGTTGCACATTTGTTGTAATTTGTGATTGGACCATGGTTGCATTTTGGTCTTGTCTTAGTTATGTAGAGCATGATGATTTGTTGTGGCCAGAAATACCACATACTAAACATTTATTTGGCATCCCCTTTCTTGAAACATTTGTTGAATCCTTTCTCTTTTCTTCATCATCATCTTTGTTTCTTCTTCTTTTTTGCCTCCCTGATGCTCTTCCAGAAGGTGGTGGAAGTATGTCAGGATATTGTATCAGTTCCCATAAGTTTTCTCCATTTGTTAGATATATGAATGATTGGTAGTAAACTTGGTAACTCTTCTTTTTATAACATGGAGGAATGTACTCAGTTGGGTCTTGAGATCTACTTTGAATGCAAGTAATTGTATGGTAGCATGGAATGCCAATGAGCATCTGACTCCTGCAAGAGCACTCCAACCTCTTGAGATCAATTATGAATTCTTCTCCAGTCAAACTTGTATGCCTTACTTCATAAATTATGTCACCTGATAACCTTTGAAACAAATGAAATCCATTGAGTTAGTGTTGTTGCACCCCAAAATTTGCCATTTGTTTTCTAACCTTAACTGGCTTGTGTACGCATTCGTCATACATTTCATTGGGCTTCTAAGACACGAGATTACAGTGTATTTCTTGCAGTTTAGAACTTTCTTTATTTCAGAGAGTGCTTCTGAAGAATTCAGATCTAAACAGACAATCATCAAAGTTTTCAAGCATTTTTTTTGCTCAGCGGATGGTTTTGGTTGTTGCAGAATCAAGAGCAGAGAGCATAAAGTTCATGAAATTTTGTTTCAGACAGGTTATCTATCATATTTCATGCATTATTCAAGAGGTTTATCAGTGGCTAAGGTTCAGATGCGAAGCCGGGTTGAGAACAGGTTGCAGCAAGGGATTTTTTTTTGGATTTTTGCTTTGATGTAATCGATTACCCAAATCATGGTAATCGATTACACCCCCTCCAGAAGACGCCATTTTTCAAAATTTTGAACATATAATCGATTTCCCAATTTCATGTAATTGATTACATCAAGTCTTTTTTTTTTCCAAAAACAACAGGTTTTCAGCACTGTAGCAGTTTGCGACTCATTCAATTGCTTGGCTCAATTCTACACTAGTGTAAGGATCTATATGATGCAAAATATTAGCTTAGTTTCATTTTCCCTCCATAATTCAAACAATTTTCACTCCTAATTCCAAACCAAAAATCCAATCCTCATTCAAAACTAATTTCCAAACCTCATTCTCATTCCATACCTAGACCATATTTAAACCAATTTCTCCCATTCCAAAGAGGATAGATTCAATACCAACTCATTTTTTCTGATTTCTCTACACTTCACACTCAAATTCTCTCTCACTTTTTTTTCAATCTCCATTTTCATCTTCATCCCTAACCTCACCAAATCTCTATCATTAGAGTTAAAAAATTCTTCATTAGAGTTTGTTAATCCTTGAGTTAAACTTTAATCACATTGTTTTTCTATTAATTGATTCTACGGGAGAAGTTGATTTGGATCTAGATCTGAATTTTAGAAGCAATTTCTTGAAGTGATTTTGGAGCAATTCTAGCTTATTGCATTGCTCTTCAGCTTTTCTAGTAAAGAATCTCTTGGATATCTGGCTTTCTTTGGTTAATTCATCAAGTTCTGTTTGCAATAATTACCAAAGCAAATCTCAGCTTTGTAGGTTGGTGATTCTTAGATCCAAACTCATTTTAGCTTATTTTGCAACTTTCACAATGTAAATCCTTGTGGTTTTGGTGTGAATTGATCCATTAATTCAATTGCTTGATATTGTTGATGTTGATTGATTCAATATGTGTTTATTTGATCATAATTATTATGATTTTCATGTGCAATTGCATGTTATTACATGTTGCATTTGATCATTGAAGTGATGCTGGAAAAGTGATTCTGGAAACTGTTTTTCTGCTGTTTTTACCGGTATAATCGGTTAACACATATGGTGTAATCAATTACACCCTATTTTCTGCGCCCAGGATGTTGAGTTGTAAATGATATAATCGATTACACCATATCAGGTAATTGATTACACCTGATGCAAAATGTAATTTTCGGTTGTTTTTTTGGGCTTATCATGATTCCTTTCCACTTTGATGCTTCATTGCTTGATATGTTCAATATTTGTGGAATTTTCTTGAGTTGTTTAGCCTCCATTTACAGTACGTATGAGAATCTTTTATGCATGATTTGTTGATTATGCGTTGCTTGCATTCTTGATGTATGTTCATGATGCTTAATTGATCACATGTTGACACTCATTTGTTATTGTTGCATTTTCATGATTCTTGATTGTTGATTGTATGTCTTCATCCATCGATTGTTGTTGATACATGCTCATACATATTATGGATGGTTGAATTCCACGAGGCATGTTCATTTGCTTTATTGTTGATGCATGTTTTGTTTGATCTTGCATATTACATGTTCATGTTAATTCATGCTTGCTCCTTGTTGAATGCACTCATGTTGCTCATGTATACATGCCTGTTCTGTGCATACGTGATCATATGCATTATGGATTGTTGAATTCCATGAGGCATGTTCATTTGCTCCATTGTTTAGGCATGTTTTGTTTGATCTTGCATATCACATGTTCATGTCAATTCATGGTTGCTCCTTGTTGAATGCGCTCATGCTGCTCATACATACATGCCTGTCATGTGCATACATGCTGTTAAATACTGCCATTCTGTTGTTGCTGCATACATGTCTGTCCTAAAAATATATGTTGTTAAATGCTATTGTGCTTTTGTTGTAAATACACCGCTATTCTGATTGAAGCATTGTCATATGCTGTTGTTTGTGCTTCTCCTTAGCTTTTTGCTTGCTTTTGCATGTTCTCTTAGGGCTTCCTAGTCCAAATTAATTTTTGGTTAATATTGGAGTAGAATAGACATTAGGTTGTTAATCCAAGCATGACAACATTAGGGTAGCTTCTCCCTAATCCCAATCTTAGGGCCATCTTGCATGACAACATTAGGATATAATCGTCTTCTAATCCTAATCTTAGGGCTATTTTGCATGATAACATCTAGGATCAAGTCTCCCTTAGATTGCGTATTATGTCTTTCTCTTCTCTCTCTTAATCCACTCAAAGCACTTAATAAATACGATATGTATAGTGCGTCACGAGCCTTAAGTACATGGAAAAAGATGAGTGGGAGTCTTTCCTTACCTCTTCTTAGAGTAATTTGTACGTGAAATGTTTGGATCGTTTGTACAAGGTATTCGCTCCTATTGTCATATACTTTAGCATGATACGCATCGCAAAACGATTCAATTCATTTCTTTAAAACACTTCAACAGATTCATATCATTTTGTCCTTCGGGATTTTATCTTCAAACCATTTTTAGAAAGGGTATGTTATTTCCGTTCTACCACAAACAGGTAACGCGTAAGACTCTCGACAACGAGCGCCAAACACCTAAACTGCTGGAACGTGAATGTTAGCATTGTCCATAAAAAATACTAAGCAACACGTGGTCCCAAGAACTACGGACGCTCTGACTTTCTCATCCTTGTTGAGAATATGTAGGCACAAGGGCCCAAATCCTTGGCGAACAACCTTCCCTTTCACCCGTAGTCCTCTGAACTACGATGACTTTGAGTTTCCCATTGCACAAGAGAATAAGTAGGCATAGGATTAAGAGATCCTATCGAGTCCCCTTTTGTTTTTCTCCCTTTTTCGTTTCCGCGTTCCCTTAGCAAGTAAAGCTTTAGATATGCACACCCTTTGATTAGAACAACAAGAGTTGATCCTGTTGAGTACAACAGATGCAAGGGGTGCTAACACCTTCCTCTTTCGTAATCGACTCCCGAACCCTGAATTTGGTTGCGAGACCATGTTCTTTTCCTTTTGAGGTTTTCTTGATGTTTTCCTTTCTCCATTGGGATAAATAAAGTTTGATGGCGACTCTGTGTCTTCGCCATTAGTTTTTCACGATAGCGACAATTGTTAATAATCTTAACATATTTGTATATTGTAAAATTAATTATTGAATTACCTTGCTGTAAAAAACCTTGAGATATCTTTCCTTCTTTCAAGCACTTTTTTAATTCTTGGAAGAACAAAATCACTTTAAACTTCAATCTTGGCTCTATTAGTTGCCTATCTATCCATGAAGTATCCTTTAATCTCGTCTAACATTATTACTATTGGCTTTTGTCTTGGTCCAATTATAACACTATTAAAATTTTCAGACATATTGTTCACTAACACATCACTTTTTGTATTGTAGTTGAACATAAACTTACTCCAATATCTAGGGGGTATCTTCAACAAGTGTTTGTATGCCTCATTATTAACCTTCCTCATTTCCTTCATTTCCCTTTCCCCTGCTTGAGGATATGTTGCCTTGGCTGCCCTTCATTTTAATTCCTTCAAATGCTTTCCTGGAAACCTTTTTCTGAAGTTGCTATACAGGTGTCTAACACAAAATCTCTGGTCAACTCCAGGTAACAACCCTTAATCATAAAATAAACACATTGTGTTATAATTTAAAATCATGAAGGACAACTATGTTACAATTTAAAATCATGAAGGACATGTATGTTACAAATTTATCATACTGCGTAACAATTCATGAAGGACAAATATGTTACAATTTAAAATCTTGAAGGACATATATGTTACAAATTAAAATCATGAAGGATCTGTTTGATGCCTTCTGCTGATCTAAAATGAAAGTAATATGTTTGCAAACTTCTGGCCCTCCCAAGTCACAAACTAGCAGATCAAAGAACCATGCCCAAGAGTCTTTAGTCTCTGCTTCAACTACAGCCAAGGCAATGGGCAACATTTGATCATTAGGGCCTTTTCCTATTGCTGCAAGGATCAGACCTCCATAATTTTATTTGAGAAAACATCCATCAACTCCAATTATTGGTCTGCAAACTGCAAAACTCCTCTTGCAAGCATCGAGGCTCATATACATTCTATGAAAACTTGGTAGCAATGGTCTACTAACATATTCTTCAGGTTGTTGTTCAGTTGCTTGGACATTTAACTTGATAGTGTTATTTGGATATGACCTCAATAGCTCATAGGCATAGTCATACAATCTACGATATTGCTCATTGAATGACCATTCAACAATACTCAGTGTTGTCTTCCGTGCCCTGTAAGCTTTCATCCTATTCATACCAACATTCCATTTCTCATGCGTTTTTTCATATATAACAGTCCGTTTCATATTAGGGTTGATTCTAAATGTTGTGTATAACATCTTCCTAAGCCAATTAGAATCAAACATCCTAACATTGAACTCTCTATTACAAGTGTGATTGTCATTCAATTTTCTCAATTGCTATGTATCCGCATTAGGAAATTTGGAACATAAGGCCACCGATCCACACCCTTCCTTGCAGCCAACTCTAACCCTAGTCCTGTCATTCTTTAGATACCTTAAATCCCTACCATTATGAATAACATAACTTGTAATAGCTTCCTTGAACCACTCCGTTGTTGAGAACAAGCTTCCCAATACCCACTTATAGTCATTAAACTTTTTAGGCATGACAAATGATGGGTAATTAACATTCCCATCCTCATTTAAATGTTCACTACTCATGTCATCCTCACTTTCTAACTCTTCAGTTGCATAGTCAGAATCTGACAAACCCCAACATACATTCTTACATGTATTTCTTTCCCTAATTCCAAAATCATGGACATCTTCATCACTTGATGCTACATCACTTCTGAGGGGAGATAAACTTCCTTCATCCACACCTTTTTTCTTAGGTCTTCCCTTGTGCTTTTTGGAACTGCCTGTTGCCTTCTTTTTTAACAGTCCCCCTTTCTTCCTCTTTCTATTTTGAGGTGTTCCATCTGCTACTATATCATTATTAGGTTGTTCACTTTGTCCTGTAACAAAACCTCCTTTTCCTATCAATACTTCATCAAATCCATCATTTAAAACCTCATCAGCTGAGTCATCAAACCTGTGCTCTCATAAACGTAGACCTATTTATTTTTATGAAGGTTTATTTTAGCAACATGCACCTTAGACTGCATTTAATCCTTTTTTCGTTAAAACTTGCTAAAACACACACACACACACACACACACACACACACACACACACACACACACACACACACACACACACACACACTTATTTTTATGAAGGCTTGTTTTAGTAACATGAACATTAAGGTGTAAGACATTTGAAAACTCTCTCGGGACTTTTTTTATTATTATATTTTATACAACAATTTTTTATTCTTTTTATTTACTTTGTTTTTTTTTTCTTTCATCATATTTCATGTTACATTATTTTTATTTTCTTTCTATTCATTTTTTTATCATCACGTTTGATGTAATATTATTATTATTATTATTTTATTCTTATTCATTTTTTATATCGATTCTAAATTTTTTGTTTAAGAATCATAAATAGTTGAAGAGGGAGTGAGATAAGGTTCAGATGCAGTGAAATATGTTTTCAGTATAATATAACGAGATGGACCTGTAAGGTTAACACTCTAATGTTCAACTCAATCAATAAATTAGAAATAGTTTGAGTGTGAAAGTGAGAAGAATACCTAGACCTTGACGTATGTGGAGCTTTGTATATGGAAGGTTGTTAGAACCACCCCAAGTCACTAGATGTGGAATGTGGGGGACCCTTTGATTAAATTTGAAAGTGAGCAATCATCTGAGGGAAAATATTGAGTGTTGGCTTCTTAATTGCCAAGCTTGTCCTCAAGCAACAAAGCTTGCATTTACAAGTTTTCAGATCAAGCGGTTCACTACATAAGAAAGCATACGAAAACAAAGTCAACATACTCATACATGAGTTTTCATTCTGATTGGCTAGGCCTAGTTCTCTTGATAGTCAATTGACAATGAAAGTATTCGCAAGAATACTAACCCTGATAGAGACACAAACCTAAGTCTCCCTTTCAGACACCTCTCCAACTATGCTTTGAGCTTAAGTCTCTTTTTCCGGTTTTCCCTTCCCCTTTCAATCAGACAATCAATATTAAGGAAATTCATTTATTTTTGTTGTCGCATACACAAGACAGATCAGGAATTTTTGTTTAGGTTTATTTATTTTTCTTTTTTTTTTCTCCGATGAGTTTACACACTTTTGTGCGTTTACTCGTCCACTTTATAATGACGTTTGAGGTTCAACCACCATTATACTAAATAATTGGGTGAGGGTTACCCAACTTAGAAGGTGTAATTGTATTTTATCGTCTTTTCATTAATTTGATGCCCAAAATTATTTGTTTCCCAACCAATCATACATGTACGCGAGTCTAGATTATACCGGACTATCATTGTAAGCTAATAAGGGGGTACTGTTCAAAAGTTGAGTACTATGCCACAAATCTACACGTTGGACTCGCGTAGGAATCAAAAGTCAATTTTCACATATGACGCCAATGTTCCATAATGGAACCATAGTTGTTCAATAAACAAGGAGACATAACTTGTTCTGATGGTCCTAAGCTTTCAATGTGGAGAGAGGGGGATGATATGCAAGATTAACACTCCAACGCCCAAATCAACATGAGATTGAAAAGTGGTGTGAGAATGAGAATGAATTTGAGTACTTGAGAAATGACGTACTTTTCCTTTTAAATAAGAGAAATTGTCGGCAACTGAAAGTGTGAAGTGAGACGTAGATCACAATCAACCATCAAATTGATCTAGATAACTAGTTAGACTTCTGTATGCCGAATTGCTTGTGGAGAAAGAAGAAATGGACCTACCTATTCCAACGCTTTATTCCTTTTCTTTTCTATTTAACCTTATTCTTTTAAGCTAATATTTAAAATTATTTTTACTTTTAAAATTCTTAAGGGTTTCCTTGAATTTAAAAATAAAAAAAAAATAAGAATTGAATTGAGTTTTAATTTAATTTGAAACAGTTTCACTTAAATTTTAAAATCATAAAAGTATATTTTATAATTTAATTTTAATTTTAACTCTAACATTAACACGTCTTTATTCACGATTGCCAACCATCGATTAGGGATGGACAACGAATTGTGTTGAGCGGGTTTGTATTCAAAAGCGACACCAGACCCAAACCGCACTTGAACAAACTAGGCCTTTTTCTACCCATTTTTTAAAGAGGATTTCTTAATGCACTCTTTATGTTTCTTAGCCACCACGTAAAATTATTTAAATGCCCCTAGTTTTCAGAGATGTAGCTTCGTAAGCAGCAAATTCTGAATTAACGTTGAAATATTCTAGAGATACATCTCTGTAAGAATTTAAAACATTCAATACATCCCCCTCAGAATCCATTATACACTTGAATTGGACTGAAGATGCATCTTTGCGAATATTCTGGAGATACATCTCTGTAAAGTATCAGAACTTGGTCTTTCATATTATGTTTTATTTATCTGTATTTAGATGAAGATTTAAACTATACCATAAAATCAAAAATAAAAATTCTACGTACATAATTTCAGATGGTCCAAAAATGCCATACATAAATAAAATACCAATAAATATCGAAAATACCATACAATCAAGATCAACAGAGTATCAAGACCGTAAAAAAATACAGATTATAGTACTACTATATACTAAGACACTACTATGTATGTCTAACTACCTCTCATCTACCTCCTCTTTCTCGTCTACCTCCTCGGCCATCAATCTCCTTGTCCTCCGGTGATGTCTTCGGTACAACAATGCTCCATGTATCTCTGTCATGATGACATCTAGGACCTGCCTCACATCATACCCATAAGGGAAGATACCTGTGTCAATACCTGCCTGCGCAATCTCCATTATGCGACGACACATAGGAAAGACATCCTCAGCATGATCTAGCTGTGCATGCTCATCCTTTAGTATCTTCTGATGAGCTGGTCTTGGTGGGTCTCTTGGAGCAGCATGCACCGTGTAAGAATATAACACCTTGAAGAACCATATGATGTATCCTTCAACGTAGGTCCAAACGCTCTCAGCTATGGTAGCTTGTGCCTCCTCCAGTACTAGATGAATCTCAAAATCACCAAACATGTCATTTATTGTCTGTGTCAAGGCAAGAGGAGCAGAAACAAGAGGGTTTTTAAGTGTAGTCAAACAGCTACATGATGTGCTCGGGTAGACGAAGAGCAGTGAGACGCGATCCACATGCCAACAATCTAGAGTATAACACTATCTCGTCAAATGGCCACGTCTCACAGTGATTAACATAGCTATTGAAGTGCATGTCCTCAACAACCAAATGGTCAAGATAGACCCTCTAAGGCTCGGTCACCTGGTTCCCTCTGAGAGGGATAAAAGAAGTATCACGTGATATATCCTCAGTGTAAGATGGTACACTCGCCCATCCAAAGATGCGCAGGAAGTGATGGAGGATCCAAGTCTAAAATGAAAAGTTTGAAACACACGAATCATCAGTATTGGCTTTGAAAAATTGAAATGAAAATGAAGAAAAAAACATTCAAAGACCAATAATTATTACCTCAGAAGTGTGACACTTCCTGTAATCTACTTCGTCTTCCACATACAACCCTCTCTCAACTTCAAATACAGGTAGACCAAAAAAGCCGCCCCCAATTGTACTCATGGATCCACTCAAAATCCACAAAGTACCGTAGGTAGACGATGTCTATATAAGTGGCACCATTGTCCATAAAAATAGCAGTGCCAACCAAATAAAATAAGTATGCTCTCAATGCATAAAATCTGTGGAGCACCACATGTTCATCATCACCATTAGCCTGTTGTGCACTCAGGATCTCAGCCTCATATATCTTCTTCAGGTATTCAAATCTAGTATGATCACCCCTGGTCTTATCCAACTCCTCCATCACTTCCCTTGGATCAGACCCCATATACTCTACCATAATCTCGAGTGCCCTGTCTTTGGTCATCCTCCCATGATCTAGGAATCTCCCCCTGATCAGAAGATGTAGCAAACACGAGACATCATCGAGTGTGATAGACATCTCACCATGTGGGAGATGAAATGCCAAGGTCTTTAAGTGTCATCTCTCCACAAATGCATTAAGCATCCAGTGGTTGACCGTAGTATAATCGATCATGCACAATTACTTTAGGCCAGATAAAGAAAAAACTGAATGAAGCTAGTCCTCATTCGGCGAAGGTAAGACTACAATCTTCCTCCCGTGGTTAAGAAACTTCAGCGAATCACGCTCCTGGAAAAAAATCAATGTCAAAAAATTTGTTAACTAAAATTAACGTAAAAAAATGAATCCAACTAATGTTGCCTCTTTGTCCCATATATGTTTGGCATTACGGTTTATATATAGA